AACACACTTCTAGCCTTAACAACTCATTACTAGCTTGCTTAGTCATGCTTACTAGACTTGCCAACACACTTCTAGCTTTAACAACTCCTCACTAGCTTGCTTAGTCATGCTTACTAAATGTAACAGCTGCTGGAGTACTTGATTATGTATAAATATCTGTATTTAAGGCTGAAATATTGAGATTTATTTAGTAAGAAACTAGGGTGTTACAGCGGGTACCCGGAATCGGTTTCTGGCGGTTCCGGTTCCAAAAGTTCAAGCGCTCTAACTGGTTCCACTTCCAATATCTCAAAGAATTGTCGGTTCCGGTTCTTGTCAAATAGGACGGGTACCCGCCTATGCTCACCCTTAAATAAGGATGGCATAATCAGGAGCTGGGTAAAATTGTAATAAGGGTGACATAATTAGGAGTTGGGTAAATTTGTAATAAGGGTGGTCATAGTCTATTTCTGGAACTGATGATCTTCTTGATCATGGGGTTTTGTTATCGCATCCTTATGATGCGATGATCTTGAGTTATCGCATTTGTGTTATGCGAGCACTTGGGTTGCCGCATCCAATTCATGTGAAGAAATGAAGTGTTTTATAACCAGAGGAGCTATGGTTGGCCTGGCCTCTAGATAGCCTTACTTCTGGTTGTTCATTTGAACCTTGGAAAAATATTCCAATCCGTGATAAAGGAACCAGAGGGGTTCTGGTTGATCTTCATGTTTAATCAAAGGGTCTCTAGTGGTAGTTGGAACTCAAGTTCTTTAAGTATTCTTGAACCATAGGCTATGGTTGGCCAGAGGGGTTCTGGTTGGTAAAACCATAGGGCCTTTGATTGGCCCTTGCTTTTGGTTGGCCTTGCCTTTTTGTTTCCCTTGCTTCTGGTTGGCTCTTGATTGGCCTTGTTTTTGGTTGGCTTAACACTGGTTGGTAAGACCAGAGGGGCTCTAGTCCTTAAGGACTAGAGGAGCTCTAGTTGTTCTTGCTCTTTATGATGCAAATTTTACCCATGAAGTATTTTTTAAGATATTGGGTATTTGAGTAACTATGAAGTATAACTCTAAAGAATGACTCTTCAGACTTATAGCTCTGAAGTCTTTTTCTTCAGATCTCTGAAGATAATTCTGAAGACTTGTTTTTCAGATCTCTGAAGATAAGACATGCCTCTCTTCAGACTTTATCACTAAGCCGCTTGTGGAAGTCTAAACTCGGGTCTTCCAGATCTCAGAAGTCTACTCTTGAGAGTTAGTACTTGGTATATTCAACTTCTACCCGAACTCTGAATTATGGACTTCCAGACTTCCATGCTTGGCCCAAATTGCTTTAATAAAACTTTCATGATATTTATGACAATTTTGGTCCTAACAGTTGGTATTACAATATGGATTTATAACTTGATTTGATTATTTTCACCCTGTAATTGCATCAAATGGATTTCTCACTAGACCTCAAGGTCTAACCCTCATTTTGTGTTTCAAAAATGTGCAGTACAGGTCGGGCTCAATCAAAGGTTAAGGGAAAAGGGGAATTGTGAGATGTCTTATATGCTTACATAAGATGTGGAGGACATCATGTTTATCTGTGGTCTTTTTGAAATATTTATTATATATACAAGTTTTGTGTATGGATTTCGTGAAAAAAAATTGTTAGCTACCTTTATAATGTAGCTTTTGTATATGTGGGACCGAATATGTAAATTTGTATTTCTTGATATATGAAATACTTGGTTATATGCAAATATGATTCTGGGATGTTACACCAAATCATAAAGAAAACTGATAATTTTTACAATATAGTATTTAATGATATCTTTAACCGTAAAGTAGGTCTTTACTTTGTGTGCATGTTTTCATTAAATGTTTATTTATGTTTATCACGTTTTTATGTGGGTTATGTTTTAGTATGTGCATCAAAATGAAGAAATTTGCTAAACTATTCAACTAATTAGTTCCATACGTATCAGGAGTTGGAATCTCGATCATAAAATACTGGATTATCGACCGTTGTCAATAGAAAGAACTAATCCCATTAAAAATATTTCATTTTCCTCATACAATCATAATATATTTTATTTTTTGAAGAAGAAATGAATTCTAAATAACAAAAGAAAAAACATGGTTTTATGTAATTAAAAAAACAAAATATTTAGTTTATACATGAACAATAAACAAACTTAATTTAAAAAAAATCCAAAATAAAATATTACAGTTTTTAAGAATTCAATTTCGAACTACAATATCAGCGAAAAGAAAAGCAAAAAATTCACACCGAGACAATGCTCGTTTATTGATACATTCTATTAATCTATGATATAAAAATGCCACCATTTAATTGAAAAGTTATAGATTATTTAAAACAAACCTGTGACATTTGTCAATTAACCTTCTTGCAATCTTTACGAATTTGACCTTTTTCCCCTGTTAATGGCTTTATATTCCCCATTTTAATCATCGACTTTATAAAATCCATTGAGAATTTATTCTGGTTTTCGTTGTATTCCTCCACAATCTCATTTGTTTCACCACCTGTAAATAATGCCTGATCAGATCTCAATAATCCTTTTTTACTCATCAAATTGGTGAAGTATCTGTTGTCGAATGAGTTTGGAGTTGGATCGAGTGGTGCAAGCTTCATGTCGCCTCCAACTTGAGGACAAATGGTTTGAAGATGGTGTGCAAATGCAGGATCAATATTGGTTTGGGTGTAAATGCGAGCCCTAAAAGTACGACATTGAGCGGACCCTAAGGTGTGTGCACCTGATAGCACAACTAGGTCCTCCTCGTCAAGGCCTTGGTTCTCGAAGTTTTTTATAAGGGCAGGTAAATCCATGAATGGCGAAGGGATGTTGGCGTCGGCTGCTGCTTGACTTGCGGTGGTCGAGTCTCTCCTTCCTAGTTTTACGTCCCATGAAGGGCCTCCTAGCTGCACATCGCGCATAACACAAGTCAAAAAAAAAGAATCCCAATATCCTTAATAAAAATCTCACGTCTCATCATTGTTCATCAATCAAGTAATGATACATTATCACTTTATTGAAAAAATAGAACAAAAAGAGGAATAAATAATTTTATATTAAATAAAATAATGATTTGTCTTCATGTGATTGGTAGAACAGTGAGGGGACATAGGATTTCGGGAATAGGACTTTATTCCAACAACCACACATTAATATCCCCTTAATATATATTTGCTGTTAAATTTCATTTGTATCTTATCAATATGAAGCATGATAAACAATTATATTTTTATTAACTTTTAAAGTTGAACACACAAATTTTATCGTATTAAATATTTGTTTTTCTTTGAAATGTTTTACTTACTGCAACAACGGAATCACGAGCAGCGACAGTTAAKATATCGGCACAAGATACTACTGGACGATGACAAACTTTGTCCACTTCAAACTTGATTTTGTCGATAACCTCGAATCCTCTAGCGGAGTTTAAGTTAGCGGCTGCATTTTTCTCACTGTCAATTGTTGATGTTTGATCCAAAAGAATCGAAGCATCACATCCCTACATGATCCAAAAACAATCTTAGAGCAAAACCACCCTTTGCCCTGTTATATACCACATATATATACTCTACATTTCAAATTGAAAAAATAAGAAGTTACTTACATTAACAAAACAATCATGGAAATGAAGACGTAATAAAGAAGCACCCATGCGACGTTCATTTGCAATTGCTTCCTCCACCACACGTTTGATGGTCGGGAGAGCTTCTGGACACCCTTGATCGTAATAGCTTGGTGAGAGAGGTGTGTCACAAGATACAGTGACGATGGAAAATATGAGGAAAATAAAGAGGGATAAGAAGCTCATGATGTTCATCTCCATTGTTAGTGTTGTAATCAATAGGATTAATTGTGTTTTAATGGGTTTATGCATTTTATGTTGTATTTATAAGGAACGTTAGCTGGTTTTAGAAATGGTCATGGACAAAAACCAAAAGAGGAGATTTGGTTGACGAGTCAAAGAAGATGAAAAAACAAATAAAAAACAAACAGTAGACTTTCGTTTGATAATTTCAAAACTGTTTTTAAATTATGTATTTGATTTTTCGTTGTACACGAATCGTTACTTTCATGAAAACATAAAGAAAGTTTCAATTTCTAAGAATATGTATGCTCTTCTAAGGAAAAAGGATTGAAAAGTGGATTTTTAAATCATTATATCTGTGTTTTCATTGTAACAAATTCTTACAAATAAAAATATATATATTTGTTTATTTTTTAACACAGTTATTAAATCAGTTAAAGATAAGATCGCAAATAAGTTTAGAAATCGATTTAATCTACGCCGTTGATCATCTACACAAACAGTTGATATTAATTTGTATTTTAAACTCCCTATGTATATGGATCAAATCAAAAGAGAACTATAAAAATTATAAACCCATGAAACTGATATAAAAATATCTTTTTATCACATTTATATTATTTCATAATGTGACAGTTTCACATGTATTTATTTTACGATATAAATACAAACATATATAAAACAACAATTTAAATCATATGATTTGATGATAAAAACATATTTATAATATTTTTATAGTTATCATGCAAAAGAAAAGATGTGTAGACAATATTGATATTAGAAAAGTCTTAAGACTTAGTCTGGAAGCCAATAAAATTATAAGAGTTGGTAAATACACAAATTATATATAAAAAACAAACTAAGAATTGGTAAAATATTAACATAACATGTAGGAGTTGGTGAAACAATGTATTATTATTTATGAGAAATTGTATATAATTTTATGTGTTTTGAAATAATTTGTGCAGATAATGAAAAAGAAAACGTTTTTAGAATGTTATACGAAAGAAAATGGTAAAATAGACAAATAGAAAAAGTATCGTAACGTGTTAAAATTTACAATGAGAAATTTTTATAACGGGATAAGTTCAATAAAACTGTTAGGTTTTTATGCATTTTTATCAGAACTTATAAATAATTGATGTATATATGACTATAAAATACATATTATTAGAATATTAATATAAGTTTTTTTTTTGTAAAAGATGAGTGAATATATCTATACTATCTTATAAAGCATTTGGTTAAAACGCTTAAACCCGTTCATCGCTAAACGATTTCATCCCTATCCGATTTCATCACATATCTGAATTCGTGTAACTAACTGCAGATAAACACAATCAAATACAGAATAAACATCTCATTTTAAATATAAAAAATCTAAAATATAATTAGGATAATCATTGAGTTCTAACAAAATACTTAATTATTATCGTTACAAAATGTTATATTATTAAACCAAAAATAAATTATTTCATCATTAAACTTAAATTAAATTATATATAAAAAAAATCTATACTATATTATAAAACATTTGATTAAAACTCTTAAAAACTACTTTTTATGCGTAAAATACTGTTTATTAATACATATTACTTAGAACTCAAGATTACAAATAGATTGTGCGTAAATACAACTTATTAAAGCTCCATATCTGAATTCGTGTAACTAATTACAGATAAACATAATCAAATACAAGATAAACATATAATTTTAAATATAAAAAATATAAAATATAATTATGATAATGTAACACTCCATATCCCACATTGCATATAACATATACTTCATACGGAAGAAATACATGTTTATACACTACTCTGGTCCCTTAGTACAAGAATTTACTATACAAAATATATATCTCAATAATTCAAAATACATTTCTTGTACTAATCATCGTTCATTAATCAAAACTATACATCATAGACAAATCTTCATATAGATATGCATATAGAAAAATATCACATTTTCCCCTTCCCCTTACCGTATGTACCGCCTGCAATACATATTTAAAATCACAAAACGAGAGTTAGACCAAAAGGTCTAGTGAGTTACCCTATTTATGTTATTGCAGGGTGAAAATCACCAAAACTTTGTACAAAATAACCTTTTCATATATATATAACAAATATATGAACAAATAGAAACATATTAATAGTACCTTTCCACTTTTCAAGTCAAGCATTCAACTATTCAAATAACATACTTCAAACTATTATAGGTTTGAACCAGCCATGTTTCATATAATGCCAATTTTAAATCTTTTCCGTTAAACAAGGTTTATTTAAAGTTTCAGGTCAAACCTGTTATTTCCTCCTCAATAACATCCAGACTATGATTTCCAATAAAAACCCCGATCTTAAACCTTTAAATCACAAAGAAATAAAGATTCCAGACCACGGTAATTTTAAAGGATATAATAGTAAGAGTTATATAACATAACACACATACAAATGCCACCCTTATATCCAAAAGTACACCTCTCCTTGATATGCCACCCTTATCTCATAGTACACCTCTCTTTGATATGTCACCCTTATCCCATGGTACACCACTCCTTGATATGCCACCCTTATTTCCTCATTAAAATATTTTATAAAAACAATTCCAATTAGAACAGACCGCAGCCACAAATGTTATAATGGAATATCATTAGTTCAAAATCATTCTTTATCAAAATTCCCATTTTTATACAAGAATACTAAAAATGATAATTGTATAAATAATACATAAGTCAAAGCACAAATCCGGTCAACACAGACTTGGCCGGACTTCATCTCCGGTCAGGCCTTGACCGATTTACTAATCCGGTCAACACAAGACCCTTGTCCGATTTACTAATCCGGACAACTCTCTCTCAAGCTTTGTCCGATTTAACAGTTAGGAGAATTCCAACACTTTTGTCCGAATAACAAGTCCAGACAACACATGGTCATATTCATACTTCTCCGTTCAAAACATAAACTCAATATTTATAAATCGCTTAATACTTGACCGGTTTAAGGCTAAACCGCTTATGCCTTGACCGGTTTAAGTTCAATCTGGACAACACTCATCAAGCGGGTTATTTATAAATCGCTTAAGCCTTAATCGGTTTAGGGCTTAAATCGCCCAACCCTTGTCCGATTTAAGACTAAACCGCCTGACTCTTAGCCGGTTTAAGTCTAATCCGGACAACACCTCAATAGTTAACTTTTAAATCATATGAAAAAGCTATACAATCAATTATACAACTAAAAACAGTTTTAAAATCAATTAAAACCACTCACCTTAAAAAGCCTTTTGAAAACTATGTGAATCAACTTTGCTTCAAAAGAATCCGGTCAACCTTTTTTTTTTTAAATAGCTCAACTTATTTTAAAGATGGCAAGAGAATAAAATGAATGTCAAACTCTCCTTTTATGCTTTCCCTTAAGGGAAAGTCGGCTACTACAGCCGTACACCATATACATGCCTTCATAAATAAACAAATACCCACACTCATGCATACATGCATGCATATCACACACACACACACATACACACACACACACACACATATATATATATATATATATCATACATGTGCATCCACATATACACATAATCTCATTCATGCATCTATATTATGCACATTTTCACATACTAGCATGATCAAATATATTGATTTATCATGCTATTACGAAATTATTTAATCAGATAATCACGTATTTATTACCTCGGGTGATACAAGAACTCAGTTATCACATTATCCACCCCTCAAAAGAATTCCATCCCGGAATTCCTTTAATCAAAGAGCCAAGGGTATTTTGATCTCATCTTTGACTCTAATTCCCATGTCGCTTCCGGTCCTTTGTGAAACTTCCACTGAACCTTAACCAGACTTATTTATTTGTTTCTCAATACCCTGATCTTTCGGTCAATTACAGCTTCTGGTGTTTCCACAAAATTCAGTTTACTGTCTAATTTAATCTCTGGCATTGATATAGCTAGACTCGGATCAGCCAAACATTTCCGCAGATTCGACACGTGGAAAGTGTGATGAATCAGACTTAGTTCTTCTTGCAGCTCTAACTGATATGCTACTGGCCCTCTTCGCTTACATATTCTGAATGGCCCAACATACCTCGGACTGAGCTTACCTTTCTTTCTAAATTTAACGACACCCTTGCATGGAGAAACTTTCAACATCACAAAATCACCTACATCAAATTCAATCGGCTTTCGATGATTATCAGCATAACTTTTCTGGTGATCTTGTGTTGTTCTGATTCTTTTGCGGATCTGTTCGATCTTCTCAGAAGTTTCTTGGACAATTTCGAGACCTGTCAGCTGTCTTTCACCTACCTCATTCCAACACAATGGCGTTCGGCATTGACGTCCATACAATACTTCATACGGTGCCATTTGGATGCTGGAATGGTAACTGTTGTTATATGCAAACTCTATTAACGGCAAATGATCTTCCCACGATCCCCTAAAGTCAATAATACAACTTCTTAACATGTCTTCGAGAGTTTGGATAGTTCTTTCACTCTGTCCGTCAGTTTGCGGATGGTAAGCTGTGCTTAGTCGGATTTCAGATCCCAAAGCTTTCTATAACCCTTCCCAGAACTTTGAAGTAAACCGACTATCTCTATCAGAGACAATAGACAACGGAACACCGTGTCTAGTTACAATTTCTTTGATATAAATCTGCGCCAGCTTTTCTAAAGAGCACTTCTCTCTTATTGGCAGAAAATGCGCAGATTTGAACAGACGATGAACAATTACCCAGATCGCGTCATACCCCTTTGGAGTTCGAGGTAATTTCATGACGAAATCCAATGTAATGTGATCCCATTTCCATACAGGCATCTCTAAAGATTGAAGACTTCCATATGGCTTCTGATGTTCAATCTTAACCTATGAACATGTCAGACACTGTTCCACATATCTAGCTATGTCTCTCTTCAATCCGGGCCACCAATAAAAAGGTTTTAAATTTATGTACATCTTATTGGTACCTGGATGGATAGAGTATCGGGACTTGTGACTTT